TTTCTCTCACAAGGCAGACGAAAAGAGAGCGTTTCTCGAATGATCCAAAGGAAGCGTTCTGAATAAGTTTAAGAGTCAGCCAACAGTCCAGATCATTCCACGTGTCAACATCTTGGTAAGGAAATGGGATAAAACGTTATAGCCAGAGAAACACGCTTTTCACTTAATGGTGATTGCTGGCAGCAAACCGTCCACCAAAGGTTCGAGTCCCACACTAACTGCTAGAACATCTCTTGCGTACGCAATTTTCATGTATGCATCAGTTGTTGGGAATATTTTTGCAATGCGATCAGATATAATATTACACCAGTGACTATGCAATCGGATTAGTATTTGGTCAGCACCAAGATAAAGTACACCATGTGATTCATTATCTAAGCTGGACTTTAATTGATGCGCAGTTGAACTATGCTACTATTGAGAAAGGAATCGCTAGCTGTGGTGTTTGCCTTAGGCTATTTTCGATTATATCTCATTGGATCAAAGGCGATTGTTTATACTGATCACGTTGCCTTGAAATACATGCTATCTAAAAAGTGCAAAATTAATGCGGATCTTGTTGCTACTACTTCGGGAGTTTGATATGAAGATTAGGATAAGAAAGGAAGTGAAAATTTGGTAGCCGACTACTTGTCTAGGTTGAAGCAGCCTAAGCAGATTGATATTGAAGATATTAATTAATATTTTCTGGATTAGTAGATTTTGGAGATGGCAGAAGCCCCATTGTATGTTGACTATGTCAATTAAATTGCAAGCAATATCACCCCTCCAGATTTCGACCATAAGAAAAGAAAGAACTCTACTCAGAGATCAAGTACTACTTTTGTGAGGATCCAATTCTTAACACAAAAGAGGCACTGGCAAGGTGATCAAATGTTCGAAATCTTGGAGCAATGTTATTCTTCACAATGTGTAGGGCATTTTTGTGCTACGTAGATTGATTCTACGGATTTTCAATCAAGATTCTATTTACCTACACTACTTGAGGATGTTCAAAATCTTGGATCAATGTTATTGCATTTGGGATATTGACTTCATGGGACCATTCCTTCCATTATTCTTCGATCAATACATACTTATGATAGTTGACTATATATCAAAATGGCTCGAGGCAGTGGTTGAACAAACTAATGATGCCTAGGTGGTGGACCGGTGGTTTGGAACCCGTAACCATAATAAGTGATGGAGGTTAGCATTTTTGCAATAAGAAATTTGAGTAACTTTTGGCTAAATATGGTGTCCACAATCCCATCTTGACTCCTTATCATCTTCAATCTAGTGAGCAAGTTGAAATCTTAGTCTGGAATTTGAAAATGATTCTTGCGCTAATGGACAATGTATCAAGGTAGGATTGGTCAAAGAAATTAAGTCCTTGTTTGGTGGTCATTTTTTTGGAAAAATATTATTTTAAATAGTGATTTTTTTTTGTAGATACAAACAAAGGCTAAATGATGCGTTATGGACAATTGCATAGCATTAAAAACTCCACTTGGTACATCCTGTAACGGTTTGTGTTTGGAAAAACATGTCATCTACGTGTCGAGTTAGAGAATAACAACAATGGGAATACAAGAATCATCTCAAGTAAACTTTTAACCTTCTTTCGATAAAAATACACTAGTTAATTATTTAGTTAGTATCATATATTTCACTTTATTGTTCCAATTGTTAGATATATTCAAATGCTTGTAACTGTAAGGATACACAAGTAGAAATTGTTCTAGCCGAATTATGAAAATATACATTCTCAGATACTTTTTTTCCCTAAAGATATCATAATGTGATTTTTAAGGTTTACCAATGCTGCAACACCAATCAAAAGAAAGAAAAAAAAACTTGAAATCCTTAACCTCAACTCTGGTCTGAGCGCATTTAAAGGCGAACAGAGATTTGTCAGTTCCGTTTTTCCAACGACATCGTTTACTACTTTTGGATTTTCCAATTTCTTTATTTATATTAAAATTAGTGCATTGCAGAGAAAATAGAAGTAAATAACATTTTCATTCTTCTATAATTCCACAATGACCTTTGACTAACAAATAAAATAAAATAAAAAATAGTAAAAATATAACTTTTGTTGGAAAAAGTCCAAAATA